CTGAAGGCAGCAGAAAGCAGCCAACGCCGAGCCCTGCCAGCCTCCAGCCGGTCCTCCGACACACCGCCGCCTGAATGTTTCATTTCCCCTGGAAATGAAGATAACATCCTTAATCAACTTACGCGTAATTAAATTGAATCACGGAGAATACGCATTCTCCGGCTCCTCCTCAGAAGCTGGTCGCTCAGGTCTGAGCATTAGGGTGGGGGGAAAAATAACAATAAGAGTTCTCTCGATGGATCAGTAATCGCTACAGAGAGTTTTAGCATCTCCCACCCCCAGGACAACCTCTCAGGTGGCAGGAGAACAGGTGGATTCTCGCAGCCAGCAGACAGGACGGGAAGCCTTGGCAGGCTCCACCACGAGCCCACTTGCTCTCCAGGCTTTGACAGTGGTGGGGAGCCCTAACCCATGGGATTGCCAAACCAGCCTTGCCACTGGCCAGAATCACAGAATCGCATGGGGTTGGAAGGGACCTCTGGAAATCATATAGTCCTACACCCTGCCAGAGCAGGTCCCCCTAGAGCAGGTTGCACAGGAACGTGTCCAGGTGGGTTTTGAATGTCTCCAGAAAAGGAGACTCCACCACCTCCCTGGGCAGCCTCTTCCAGGGCTCTGCCACCCTCAAAGGGAAGAAGTTCCTCCTCATGTTTAGGTGAAACTTCTTATATTCAAGTTTGTGCCCATTTCCTCTTGTCCTGTCACTGGGCACCACTGAAAATAGACCGGCCCCATCCTCTTGCCACCCGCCCTTGAAGTATTTATAAGCATTGATCAGATCCCCCCTCAGCCTTCTCTTCTCTAGACTAAAAAGACCCAAATCCCTCAGCCTCTCCTCGTAAGGGAGATGCTCCAGGCCCCTCATCATCTTTGTAGCCCTCTGCTGTCCCCTCTCCAGCAGTTCCCTCTCCTTCATGAACTGGGGAGCCCAGAACTGGACCCAGTGCTCCAGATGGGGCCTCACCAGGGCAGAGCAGAGGGGCAGGATGACCTCCCTTGACCTGCTGGTCACAGGTGTAGGAAGTGAACTGGTTGCCTGGTTTGCTCGTTTGCTCGTTCGTTGTGGCTAGTAAATAAGTGAGAACTCATGTCTTTGCATAAAGACAGAGCTCGTGCTATTACTGAGATGGAAAAATCAGCTTATAAAGCTTTCCCTTATTTTTCTGGGCAAATGATCATCCGTTTGGGGGTTTGGTTTTATACAATGCTGTACTGTATAGAGATGATGCTACTCTCCACCAGCTGAGCCTGCAAAGCTCCTTCATCTACTCCTCCCATACAGAAAGCAATATCTGAAACAAAACAAGTGTAGTCAATTCCAGTATGGCTTCCTCAGTTTGTTAATGTTCTTTAGAAAAGCTTTTGTTTTCATCTCAGCCAAGGAAGCAATTCTAAATTGATGCTTTTACAATTCAGTGTTTTCAAACATCCCTGTGATCTCGGAGATCTGAAACTGTTACGCCTCAAGAAAGCTTTGCTTCCAGAGGACCAAATTTTCTGCAATTTCCAAGAATTAGAAATCCACAAGATGCCCCCAGTGCTCAAATCGGAGCCATTTAAAATCACCGGACTCATTAGGAACGGCTAGAGCACCTTGTTGGCATTCCCTCATTGCACCCATGTTAAATTTCTTTAAAGGATGCTAAAACAACTTCGTCACACTTTCTCTTGGTGAGTAGGTCCTCGCAGAAGGAGAAGGATCTGTAAATGGTCTGGAACAGAGGAAGGTCTCTAAAATATAGCTGGTTGGAACCTGATAGTCACCTATCACTTGCTTACTCTTGCTTTTAGGGGGTGCAAAGACTGCAACTTTTCTTGATGCTTTTTTCTTTGTAAGTCTTACCACCTCTTAATTTAGCTCAGGTTTGGCTTTTGGGGATTTTAATAAAAATGGCCAACCAGCAATTTTACTGGTGGTGTCTTTGCATATTCCGAATACTTTCATCCTTGGTTGCCCTGTCAAATAAGGACTGACCAGATGGACAATTCTCTGTCTTTCTCTCCTGGGCAGGTTACATCTAATTAAAAGCAATTCCCTCCTCCTACTCCTCCAGCACGCTATACATTATCACCCAGATGTCAGCACTGGTAATTTCAGCAAAAGCTCACCAAGATTTGGATAAAACTTGCTGTTGCTGTTTTGTGTTTTTTTTCCCCCCCAGGGGAGGCAGGGAGCCAAAGTTCCAACTGAGCAAAATAAAATTAAAAGCAGATCTGTTTTTTCTGTCTCAGTAGCATGTGCTATGGCATATAATGCACGTTCCCTGCTTCAGAAAGGAAATGAAAGAATGAACTTATAGAACTGATGATATAAAGATATCAAAGTATTACTTGCCCCAGCTGATATGTACACTTCACATATAATTACTATTTAATATCTTTGTTTCCCACACACCATAAAAAAGCTTACCCTCCCTCCCAATTCCCTCTTCTTGTAAGCAAGCTGATGCAGAATCTTCTAGATTTGTAGTTTCTACTTGACTTTCTTCTTGACTTTCTTCCCTTCTTCGCAAAGTAACGTGCTCCACAAAACGAAGCTATTTAAAATCCTAAATGAATAAGTGTTATAAAAATAATAAATTAGTATACAAGACTGACTTGCACAAAACATATGTTATACTCTGAAGTATATTTAGACAGGAGCGCGTAATTGCCTGTTCCTTTTCTAATGGCCTGAAGCACAGCGCTAAATCTGAACTCTTCCCAAAGTCTACGTGGTGATGGAGCGTCACCCCCTCCCTGGTTCCTGACTGAGTTCAGGTCCCCATCACCTTTCACGTGCTGCCTTGAGGAGCAACAACCAGCCTCCATACTCAACTAGTATCAAGTAGTCCCCGTATCCCCCGTGTTTGGCTCTCTCACGAGCTCAGGACTGGAATAAGCCCAATGACGCTTCTGGCCCCACAGCAGGGGCCCAGGAGCCCCACTTCAGCTCAGCCCATGGCCCTCACCACCACCTCCCTCAGCAGGAGTGCTGTGGTCTCCAGCCCTGCCTTTCGGATGGACCTCAGACCTGTTGATGTCTGTCTCCTCAATGGGTTCCTCGGACACCCCTTGTTGTGTGTCTCCAGCCCATCTCCCTGCTGCTCTTGATGGGACCCCTGGCCCAGGTTCATCCCCTCACATCATCTAGGGCTGTCAATAGACCAGTACCTGGCTGGTACCAGTAGCTTCTGTCAACAGACCAGTACCTGGCTGGTACCAGTAGCTTCTGTCAACAGACCAGTACCTGGCTGGTACCAGTAGCTTCTGTAGAAGGAGCGCGAGTAGAGGCTCTGGGTCACGTTGGGGGCCCACAACCACAGACAATATGAAGACAACCCACTTGAGTCCCAGAGAAGTTCACAAAGGCAACCTGTCACTCTGTCACACTGAGCCCTCTGCTTATCCCTCAGAAAAAAACCACCCTTAAACCAGAATCATCTTTATTTGAACATGTCTACAGATTCTGTTACTTTTACATTTCTTATTTTTCCCCCCAAAAAAATTAGTTTCAAACAGAAAAAAATGCTTAAATTACTTTCCAGTCCAGCTTCTCCCAAAACCCTGGTTGGCCTGGAGTTGCACAGTATTTCACAGCATCGGTACTCACCTTAAAAAGTTAGGTGGCAAAGTTGGATCTTCATTAATTTTAAGGAAATACACAGAGTCCTTCACCTGGAAACTAAAGCAGCTCCAAAAAAATGGCTTCTGACCTCACCCTAAACGTCCAGAAGACAACCACCAACAAAAAAAAAGTGTGCTTTGCAAGTGAGGTGAATCTTTCTGTTATGAAAGTAATGGAAATAGACTCTAACATTTTTATATAAACAGCAGGAAAATCCAGTGTGTAGTCGCTGGGAGGGCACTGCAGAGGGTCAACCTGGCAAGCACCTGGTGGGAGCTGTATTTCTGAGAGCTCAGCAGCAGAATTCTCCTCTCAATACGCAAACAGTCACTGATTTTTTCCGTCAAGAAACCGGCAGTGAAATCAGAAGGAAAAGTCGTGGCAAAAAAAAAAAAAGAAAAAAAAAAAGGCCACCTTCCAGGAAAACAGACACGTGAAAATACAGTCACAGCTCAGCCTCATTTTCTGTGTTGAGACCCAAACCAGAAAAAGGCTCAGAGCCTTGGATTAACTACTTCCTGGGAAATTAAGGCCTATTCTTAGCACTGAGCACTGCGTATAGGATTTTGCTTTCTATATATGTTGTTTCTGTGACTTTTTTTTTCAGCTTTCCTATCTGTTCCAAGGTGTTTTGTAGAGCGGTAGTGATTCAGGTGGTATAACCAGATAAATAAGGGAGTTATTATCTTTATGAAGCACAGATCTCTCTGTAATAAATGTACCTTGTAGCTTGATTTACAGCAAAAATCCTCCTCCTCTTCCTTCCCTGATGAGACCTACTTAAGTCAGTGAGACTAGTCATGATGATAAGATAATTAAGTTTTTAGTACAACTCTGGTTAGTGAGCAGAATGCAGTTCTGAAATAATGAATCTACTAGCTCCGGTCTGGTATTCCAAAGGTGTTGATGATTTGGGTATTATTCTTAATGTGCTCTGAGAAAAGCGCCTTTTACATTAAAGCTGTAAACCCCGCAAAGGACACAATTCAAATCACCTTTTTAAATTAAAGAATTGCTTTTCGAATGGCAAAGTTGAAGTTCAGCCAGCATAGCAGTGACACCTGCAAACTGACAGTCAAAGCCCCCGACATTAAAATGGAAAGATTTGCATGAATGTGTTTTAAAATGACAGGAGACAGGAACGGGAGCTTCTAAGCAAGTTAGACTAAAATTTTAAGAGTGAAATGCCTAAAAATAGGCCCCTGAATGCATAGTTAGGCACCTATATAGATGCTGCTTGATTTTCAGTTGTTCTGATCACCCAGAGCTCCCATTAACTTCAGGAGCAACTGTGGATACTCAGCTGTTCTAGAAATCAAGCCACCTTTATTCAAGGGTCTAAATATGGATGTCTGTACCCAAGTTTGGGGCAAAAAAATACCAAAAAAGAGGGTTTTTTTTTTTTTGCTACAGAGACATTTTATAAAAGAAAATAATAGCCAAGTTTCATTTTCTCGGGTTACAATGCTTGAAACTGAATCAACATAACAATTAATAGTGCAACACATCTGTGGCAGAAGATTTTGTCTGAGGTGAATGGAAAGCTATTCCAAGATCTGTAGTTCTTAATTAGCAATGTGAAATATTCCATAGATATTTCATATTCTGCGACTGCAAAGTGTTACCAGGCCACCTAAATCTTTTTCATAGTATTTCAGTGCTCCCATTAATAAGCTTTTCAGGCTGGTCCGAGGAAGACTTTGCAAGATTAACTTTGCAAATCTGTAAGTATTAACTATTTAACTATTTCAGAATTACCATTTTTTCCTGCTTTTGGATCAAGTACAACCAGCAGACTTGAGCATATTTTTAAATACTATAAAATATGAAGAAGGGAGAATTAGGTCTTTAATTCTGTCATATGCACTTGGTTGTCAGAAGACTTCTGAATGCTGTTTGCTTAAAGACCTCTTTTGTAAAAGTAATCCTGAGTTGATTTTGTGTCTAAGCCATTGCCAGGTCATGCTGAAGTGCATGAGTGCCAGTCACGTGATAGAAAATCTGCAAGAAAAAAGAAAATTTATGATGGAATTACGTATGACTGCAAATGTGTAAGTGTCAAGGAAGTAACAAATTAAAGGCATGTCAGATGAAGATGATGGATATTTGTTTGTGTACGTGTGTATGTGCATAAAATATGATGTAATATACCTTTATAGACTCCTTTATAGGATCTGAACTAAGGGCTCTTGCTGCTTTGCTTGGAAAAAAAGAAAGAAAAACAAAGACTCTTGTTGCTTTTAATTAAGCCTTCAAAAAGACAATACATTACTCTCACTGTAATCTGATTTTGACAATTTCAGTATTATTTTGTGATAGTCAAAGCATCCAAAATTGCTTATGCTTTTATAAGGCTCATTTCAAACTATTCTTTTAGCTCTCCTGCCTTGTGGGGGCAGGGGAGTGCTCTCCCCATTTTCTATGTTTGTCCGAGTTTTTTAAATACTGTTTTGTTTCACTGAATGTAACGATTGGGATGTTTTATCTTACATTTTTTTAGACGGCATTGGTCACAACTGGGGCATTTGTGCAATCCCTGGCAGATAAAAGGATGCCACCCTGAAGAAATCAGAAGAAATCGTGTGACACAGTCACTGGCTGTGTTCTAAGACTCAGCAGCGATGGCGGTGGCAACAAGAAAGCTCACGCTGCTTTGTCACAACCAGGGACATAATTTTAGGTCAAGAGTGAGGCAGCAGCAGCCTGGCAATGAAGCAAGCCAATGTTATCCTCATTGCAGGAGTAAGCCAGGGGTTTTCAACAGTCACGAATATTCACCTGACATCTCTCAGCTGCTCTGTATTTCTTAAGATGTGTCAGTATTTCAGTTGCTGGGAAAGGTGGGAAAGGGAACAGACTGGTTCTTTTTTTTCCTCCTCCAAATCCCCCTACATCTCATGTTCTCCCACCAAGAGAAACAGCACAAGGACTCAACACACAAGCTGTGTGGTGTTGTCGATACACCAGAGGGATGGGATGTCATCCAAAAGGACCTGGACAGGCTGGAGAGGTGGGCCCAGGTGAACCTCATGAGGTTCAACAAGAGCAAATGCAAGGTTCTGCACCTGGGCCGGAACAATCCTCACCATCAGTACAGGCTAGGGGGTGAGGTATTGGAAAGCAGCCCTGAGGAAAGGGACTTGGGGGTGCTGGTGGATGAGAAGCTGGACATGAGCAGGCAG